CAACCGATCTCTTAGTCATTTTAAACATGTCTTATGCTATTAGTTTGCTAAATGGACAGTAATTTATAAGCACAGTTTGTTTGCTAATAGACAGTTATTAGAGAATGGAGGGATTGTGATAATATGTGTGCAAGGATGAAGGAAAAATGATAGCTTACCAAAACGATGTCATAGGTTAAAAGCCGTAGCCGGTTTCCATCAACACGCCCTAGAGCATTGAGATATTCCCAGTATTGGTCCACATAACGCACATACTGACCTATTGGAACTGATGCAGCCCTTAAAGGAAAGAGATTATTGCAGAGTGTCTCATTGTTTCTAAGTGCTGCACCATCCCACTCCCTCTTTGGATTCTTCAGGGCAGCATCTGCCCTTTTAGCCTCATGGTGACACTGGAAGTGTATGACGTTAAAATGGCTGACTGTTGTGTAAACACAATCTCCTCCGCGTGCATTTGCTGAAGTTCCAACACCAAGGTTCACCCTTTTACTGTATGTGTAGGCACCTAGTAGGTCAGTGGGGCGCAATTGGTACCCTTCACGACAAACCATGCAAGCCAACCCATCCTCTTCCTCTACATCTTCTAAACCTTCCAAGACTGGCTGAGCAACCACAATACGGTCACCCCCATCCGAAGCCCACCCAAGACCCTACACAATAATAATTAGATTTTAGATTTTGAACACTACAAATAGCTAGTACTCCCCCTGCCCCAATATAGTACAGCTGCTCATTATACTCAGTATTATCAACACCTTATTCTCAACTAGTTAGGTTCAGTGACTTTAAACCTTACTAATATTACATCTTGGTTTAATTAAATTTAACACACTTAATAGGTCTCTCTTTCTTTTGTTTTTTGGGATGGGGATTCAGTTGTATTCTACTGTGTGGTTGCTACCAATAAAAAATAAAAGTCCAGGATTAACAGTAAAGCTGGATCATTAATTTGTCAGAACAAAAATTTAAAAATAGGGATGCATGAGTGAGGAGGGAAAAGCAAATGAAAATGAATTCAGAAAGTAAAATAGTTTCAGACAACAAACCTTAAGCAACTGTTCCCTTTTCTTTAGAGCTATGCGTCTTATCCTATCTCGGGTTGCATCTCTCAGCTGGCAAACCTTCTCAGACAAGAAGCCATCACCTTTTCCCTCTTTATCAGAAAGTGTGTTCAACAAGTTTTCAGCCCTTGCTCCAATCTCATTTTCACCAGAAACACCCTCTAAAGCATGTAGCAAAGGTAAGATCCCCCCGTCATCAATACAAGTCTGAGTAGCCAAATGTCCCATTGACAACCCCCTTAGCATGGACATTATGAGGGGAACAGATGGCAGTTTTAATCCCGCAGTCCATTCAGCAGTAGATCTGTAACCTTCATGTCCAGTAAATGCAAAGCTATTTTTTAGATGCTCAACAGCAGATCTGATAATTCCCTTTTCCAATATAATATCTTTCAACCTCTCCCCGCAGGAACTTGATTTCAGGGATTCTGAAACTCTCACAAAATTTTCCAAGGTAAATTTTTGCTTGGATGCTTTCTGATAAATGCCCTCATCCTTTGGATCCTCTTCATGAAGCCTTTGCAGCCTATCGAATTCAACCCAATCCTGTAAAAATGGTTCGAAGTGGTGGATGAGCACTTCCATTGCTGCTGGTTCTCCATAGGTCAGGTAAGGCAAAATTCGTGCAACCATTTCTGTGTTTCTCTCTTGTTTGCTTGATTTTTTAAGTCCAGATGGATGAGACAACCTTTCCAAGAAGAGGAGAACTATTTTTTTGGCCTGTTCACCACCACCACCTCTTTCTTCATTAGAAACTGTAAGAACACCCGGAGTAAAGCTAATGTTATGGCTGTTGTTTGCTTCCAATGTTAAACTCTCCACAATCAATAGGATGCCCTCAGCTGGCTCCATGGCATCCACAAGGAATGCTCTCCGCGCTGTTTGAAGTAGTGACCCTAAAGCTCCCAGCCTGAGCAATGTTTTTCTGTTTTCTCTTATCTTGCAACAAAGCATGAGCAGATTAAGGACTGCCACTAGCTGTTCTTGATTAGACTTGAAATCATCTTGCAAACGCTGCACGAGTGACATACGAGGAATAAGGGGATTAAGAATATTACAGTACAAGGTCATCATAACAATGTAGCAATTCATAGAGTAAGATGCATATTAAGAAAGATCCTTATTAAGGGCTTGTTTGTCTAAAAGTAGTCGCTGAATCTGCTGAATTTGTGAAATGACAAATTGTTGGCCTCAATTTCATCCAAATAAACAAGTCACTAATTCCTATTATTCAACTAAAGAAAAGTCTAAGATGATTAATGCTGGGCTGTGGGGTACGCAAGCCTTACCCCATAGCTTAAAAAAGATAGAGAGGTTGTTTCCAAAAGAACTCCCCCCCCCCAAGTTCAAGCACAAATGGCACAGGTTTGTTCAGACTCCATGAACAAGCCAAAATGAGTATGTAAAAGCATACTATTGGAAAAAAAAAGTTATTGATGAAATGATGGTAACCCAAGTACCTGGACCATCCCCAAAAGGATCTCTAGTCCACCACATTCCCGAACTGCACTAGCAATGGCAAACTCCACCTCTGGATCCTGGGTTTCCTCCCTGTCCTCATCCAATTCTTTAATCATGGGTTCAGTGGCTTCCCCATCTAGACCCTGGAGAGTCGCATAGAGATAATTGTCAATAGTGAAAACATGGAACAAAACAAATTACCTTTAATGAGCTTCAATAGTAGTGCTATTACATTCACATAGAGCTAAATTAAAAAAAGTCCCACAATTAATAGTATGGGGTTTAAGAAACAGAGTTTATGAAAACAGAAGGTAAACCTGTAATCGGTAAGTCACTGTCATTGGAGGACAATCTCTGGCAGATGCTGCAGAAGTAGATGAAATTAATGTTGTCCCCACTGTAGTGCTTGAAGAATGGCTACTGGACTTCTTCCACACTTGTTCATAAACTTGAGCAATGCTCAAATCTAGAGATATAATATTTCCAGCTACTAGCAACTCCATGCCATAGTCATCTTCAAGGAGTCCCAATAGATCCAGCTGCTGACAAATTTTGTTTTTGACATCACGCATCAGGGGGCCAACCTCTGCACTTGAATAAGGATTTTTTGTCATTGATCCCCTTATAAATTCTTCTTGTGTATGAGCCTTGTTCAATATCAAGAAATAAATAGGTTCCAGTTTTGATGGGCTGATCAAGTTGCAGAGTTGCTCCAAGATGAACTGCAAATGCATTAAGAATATGTTGTCACGAACGCTTGAAGTTGAGATCAGTTTAGACACAAGAACAAACAATGTACAAAAGTAGTGGAGATACATCATTTAGATTAATAACTATAACTTTATTAAAAATGTAACACAAATTGAAGTAACAAGAATTAACCACGTACCAAAGAAGTTCTTCCTTTACTCTCATCTCCATGAATTTGAAGACCAGAGATACATGCTTGGATGAATTGATGTTTATTTTCATCTCTCTCGAGCAGAAGACTATCCAAAAGATCTTTCAGAAGCTTATTGCAATCATTTATCAACTTTGTCTTCTGTACAACTAGCCCTCTTATGACAATAAGAGCTTCAAGTACCTCAGACAGTAAATGTTCTCTCATAAATCTGCAATGAAACAATATCGTCAGCAAAACAATTAAATGCATGGTCAGTAGAGAAAAACATAGAGCACATACCTGGATCTGATATTAGGGATCTTCAAAAATTTGCCAAGGAGTTCAATAAGCTTGTGAAGAATGAAACCCTGTGATATGTCAACATGCAAACTCCTCTCTAAGGATTCAACATTACTCAGTTCTTGGGTTATCAACTTGCATATTGTTTTCAAGCATCCACTGGCAGTCAAGAAAAGGCAAGTATCTTCTGAGTCTATCATCTTAAAAAGCAATTCAAAATATTCAGCAGCATTTTCCCCAGCAGAAAGAGTTGCAGGGAGCAGGGACATTAGCAAGTTTAACAAGCGATGTTGTCTCATTGAACTTTGCCCACAAAGTAAGCTAATCAGCATGCACATTTCAGACCTTATAGACTGTGAGCATGCGCTCAATATAAGTTCTGAAACCCATGAGCCAAGCTCAAACGATGGCATATTGCTTCGATCTGATTTACAAACACGCCTCTTCCACCTTAGGCCATACTTCAAGGCCAAATAATCATGCCTCTGAAGTAGAGATCTTTGGCCACCTTTTGCTGCCTGAGATACCTTATACTGCCGCCTCACAAAATCAAGGTATGAAGCTCCTTTTTCCCATTCTGAGTAACTCAGTAACTGCATATCTTGCACTTGCTGAGAATCACTCCAACTCTTTGATTCTGATCCAAGTTTGCTTCCACAGACGAGCGTACTAGATGCAGATACATTTGTGTTGCCTTCTTCTTTTGTTTGTGTATCCTGAGCAGATTTTCCTACCACACACTCTTTCTCAGGTACATCGGGCTTTGGAGGAGTACATGCCTGTGAAATAATTCGTAGGCACGGGAGAATAATATGCTCAGATATAGCAGGATGTTTAGCCCCTGATTTAATAGAAGAAAACAACAACGGGAAGACAACCCTCAGTCTAGATTCCCAAAATTCATCTGCCAAAGAACAGACATCAGATAGTAATGACAAATCTTCTCTTGTGGCCAGGGCAATGTCGATGGAACGATGATGTTCAAGACAATAGAGCACTTTTTTCTGCATCAGAGTGTTCAACTCCGCAACTGCATTCACATCACCTTCTGAGAAAGCACAGAGGACTGCCCTTGCTTGGATACGAGCTGCTTTTGGGCCCTGATGAATGTTATTTTCAAATAGCTCTGACAGAATACCAGCTGCAACAAGTTGCTTCTTAGATGTCGGATGCTTTGCTAGCACCAGTAATATCTCCACACATTGAGTAACAAAAGTAGAAGCACATCCATAACAACTATTTTGCGACCTTGAAACAGCCAATCTAGATGTTGCAGTAGAATTTCCAGACTGCTTTTTATGCAAGTAGTTCATTAAAACCAGCCTCAAACCTTGCAGAGTCTGAACACTTTTACTCACAATATCAAAAGATGCTTTGCACTTCTCACCATACAATACACCAAGAAGAGCAATTTTGCGGTTTATCTTACAGGAAGGCCCAGGTAAAGAGACCATCATTTGCTGAACAGAATCCTTCTGTTGTGAGTCCATCTCATTCTCACCAATACTTGATACTATCTTGAGCAAAGGTTTCTTGAAGCCTAAAAGCTGCTGATACCTCTTATGAGCGTTTTCAGATTCAAACTCTATGGAAGCCAAGCCCCTCTTCATATCTTCATCATTCTCCATGCTATCAAAGGTGAAACTTGGCTTCGCCATAAAATTGAATTCAAATCTACCATACTTGCTGTATCCACATTCATTGCATAAGAAAGAATCAAGATTTTCATAATTGATATTACGGCACTGTCGGCACTGATATGCATTCTCATGACAATTGCCACAAATACCGTGCTTATCCGTGACAGGCCGGCTACAACGAGGACATTGCAGAGGCTCAAGGGATAAAGCTTGGAGATTCTCATAGAAAGAATCCAGTTCGATCATGAAATTACATGCAGTGATTGGTATTGGAAAATCAACTTTTAGCTCTGTCTGATTAAAAGTAAGATGGCAGCTCTTCACACGCTTCCACAAAGACCAATTATTTTTTAACTCTGAGAGGTCGGCCACAGGTCTGTTGTTGTAATAAATGTTCAACACTTTCACTGACTTGGATTTGCGAGCATCATGGACATTCATGATCAAACTCTGGATTGTAAAGCTACCAGTACACTTGACAATGATGCGATTTCCTGTAAACTTTGTTTCTGATTTTATGCTTTCAAGTTTCATCCTGCTATATGGCACCTCAGGAGAGCTGCAGGCAACACAAGGTTCACTCTCAAGATAGTAACCATCAAATTCCACCAGACCGCTTAAAGTGTTATATATGCGTGAATTAGGATGGTTAGCCAACAGCTCATTCTGGGAGTGAAGTGTGTCAAATATGGACCTGATCACATCATTGGTCAAGCATTTGTCTAATATTTCAGCACATTGTTGCTTTGAACTGTTCTCTGGTACCTTACCCAATAAGAATGTGAGAAGTTCAGTATATTCAGTGATGTTCTGCCCATACATGGGCAAACACTTTATTTTCTGCAGAAGTACTGTGAGCAAGGCCTCTTTGAACGATTGATTTCCATGATGCCAGATGCCAAATAGGACAAATTTGGCTTCCATACGCACAGAGCTTGAATTCCACTCCAATAAAAAACAGTCAATAAATTGCTTCAGTGTATCACCACCCTTGCCAACAAGGACATCTACCACTGCTTCCATATCAAAGTGAGTTTTTTCAGCACTTGACTCACTCTCTTCCCCCTTTTTCTTCTTCATAGATTCAAGTAATGGCACGCCTGACTTGCTTGCAACTGTGCCAATATCCCCTCCTTCCACTTTTTGTGAAGAGTGGTTATATATGTTTCCAGTATAGAAGGCCAGATTCAGCAATTTTAATGTCTGAATTAAACACTCTTCCCCAAAATAGAAAACACCACTCACAAGATAAGGTAGAACATCAGCATGCCTCAAGCAGTACTTTTGCCAGTTTCGAGGTCGGGATGAAGCAACTTCAGCCATGGTGGATAGAGATTTAACTATCTTGACGCTCCTCTCATATGACATCGTACTTTCAAACCCACCAGATTTATTTATATGTTTATAGAGCTTCTTCAAATCATTTGAGAATTGCCAAGAGTCTCGAACACTGTAGTAGTGTGTCTTGCTACCACATAGATGCAAGAAGAGCCTCCTTGCATACCTTCTAACAAAAGTCGTATGTGGATTATTTATGTAGCTACAGAAGACATCCTGATATCCATCTAGCTTCAAATCCTTGCTCAGAGATACTTTACAAGACTTCTCTTTTTCCACACCCTTCTCATGCTTTTCTGGCCGTATCAAACTGTAAAGAAGTCTGAAAGTATTCTCCAACAAGAGTCTATGGTAGTCCGCAAATATATCAGAGCGATGTGATTTTGCATAGGAGTCTGAAAAGAATGGTGAAAAATTGCCTGCTGGCACCTCTCTCCTTATTACTAATAAAGCACCACATCCTGAAGCAGCATTCATACCATAAGATGCATCTGTGGTAATAGATGGTGACTTAAACACATTTACCAACTGCTGCAGAATATCCATCAGATAGTTAACAAATGTTTGATGCCTAAGGGTTCCACAAGCTCGATGTAGATCAATTATGAAATCATTTTTCTCTTGTCCATCCACTATTGATGAGGCAGCCATTGATGTGGACACACTTTTGTCTGGCACTTCAGTAGTACTTCCAGATTTAGTAGCAGAGCCACCATCACTTCCTGGCTGATGCCAGTTTCGCAACATTAAGGTGAAGAACATAAATACTAGAATTGTGACTTCCCCAAAAGGTGTCCGGGTTTTAGCTGCAGGAGGTTTACTAATGTTTATCTCCTCCAAGAACCATTTAATCAATTTCTCCAAATCTAGACTTTCAGGCTCTGAATTGCCAGAAAAAGGTCCGCCAACAGCAGAAGCCAATCGATGGAAAAGCTGCATGACAGGAAGAGCCTGAACTCCGGAGGTAGTTTCCATCCATCCTTTCAGTTGTTCAAGGAACTCTGAAAGAAGCAGTGAGTTGACAGCCCTCTTGGATGCAGAAATTGTAACAGGGTCAAGAAGTGATGCTGAAAATTCTCCTGAATCATTCGGTTCTAATTCATGAATTGATGGACCAGAATTCTGTGTTCCAACATCAGATGCAACAGCCAACAACCCAGAGTCACTTAAATCATCAGTAGTAAAATGAATTTCATTTCCATCCCCATAGGTTTCCACTTCAATAGGAATTGCAGTCATAGGGTGATCTCGAGAATGTGGCGGGGGAGGAAGCCTGTCTGCACCAAGCACTTCATAGCACGCCTCACACAAATCAAAATCGGGGCAAACAGTACAGTGCCATCTTCGCCTGAGGATGGGAACAGTGGAACAACCATCACAGCAGTATTGAACAGAGGAAGTAATGGAATCTTCTTCAACCATGACTTGAGTATTTCCACTACCTCCAGTGGAAGCTGCTGCTCGAATTGGAGCAGAGGAAGAGTTTTCAGCATCATCTGTGCCTAACATTGTTTGCTTTGGGAAAGGAACCTGTAGCAATCTTGAAGATATAGCCAGACTGAAAGTAAACCAGAAAGAATATTATTAGAAGGTGGAGATGAGAATTTCACTGTGCAGAAAACATTTAAATATGGATATTAGATCCACCTGCTGGATGTTTGAACAGCCTTATTGGTTGACAGCAGAAGCTTCTTAAATAATGACACTGCAGGTGCAACAGACATCCTACCGACATCCTTCCCGTGCAAGGCTAGACACTCAGCATAACAGTAAATAAGTTCTACCGAGGATACAACTATGTTGTTCATAGTTTGTGTATCAGGCTGCTCTATGTACAAAATGCCCCACAAAACTTGCATGAGCCCATCAACCACTTCCGAACCTGCATTAAGAGATGATAAATCAGATGTGCTACGAGAATAAATAAGTTCTAAATCATCAGTAGCTGCAGTGTATAAGGAACAACATATATAGTCTCCTGAAGACAAGAATTGCTTGAACGAATATAGGTAAGCCTCCCTCCCTCACATTATCCAAACCACAGCCCAAAAGCACATTGCAATTAAACGTACACAAACAACAACCCTGGGATAATCCCAAACCTCTTGAGGCATGAGGGGTCAAGATGTGTGCAACCTCACCCATGTGTTGCATTGATGCACATTGCAATTAAACTTAAAGAAAGTTCAAAGTGTCATTTTAATTTACTCCACTATTTGCTTGAAACTAAAAAATTGTCACTAAAGACTCTTTTATAACCATTTGCAATTATATATGAGTAATAAAATTACCGTTCATTTCAATAAAGCTAGCCAAGTTTGAGCGACGTTGTAGAGCAATCTTAGAAACAGCACACATCTGTGAAGTAAATTCCTCGATAATCCATCTGGCAGTTGTCCCCCCAATACCCAATTTTGAAGAAAGCATTGCAGCAGATTTAACAACACCAGTAAGACGCATTGCATCTTTAACCTAGTACCAAAAGAAAACATAACACATTAACAATGTAAAATTATAGTGTAGAATAATTATGAATAAAGGAATTAATGAAGCGAACCATCATTTCAAGCAAGGTGGTTATCAAGCAATTACCTGGTGAAAGATCTCCCTTCTGGGAAAGATGGCTCGCAAGACACGACATGCAGCAGACTGTAACAAGGGCTCTCTATCACTCTCAAAGACTGATTCCAGCAACTGCTTGCACTTAACATCCTCAACTTTTGAGCATCCTTGTGGTTTGCACAAGGCATAAATACTTGATAAAATATTGAGGCTATCAGCCATTATCTGTTCCTGAAATTGAACAGACTGAGTCGCATGAGACTTACTACCTGATCCTACAACCCATGAGTTAGAGCCGAGTACATGAGCTTCCATGTTTAGAACATCATTCATCTTCTCTTTCCACCCAAATTCATCCTTTGCTTGGCAATAAACTTCCAATGAATCGATACGCGGTAAGGCAGATCCACCGAATGTAGGCCCAACACAAATTGTAAATTCTTCATCAGCAAGCAGTGATTCGGCCTCCGTGAATGGGATATCGTACCAAGACCTCATTCCCTCGTCTAATTTAATGGTTCTCTGGAAAACGGTGACTTCAGAGGGTATATGATCGGCTGATGTGTTACCCACATGTAGGCGTAGACCAACCATCACAATGTCGGGATTTGAATTAGAAACAGTAATCTGAGACAACAAATCATTGTCAAAAAGGGAACTGAAGCTTACAAACTAAGCATAATGGAGTTTAAATTAAGAAAGTCCAGCTTCAAAACTAAATATGGAGTATAATGGAGTTCAAATAAAGAAGTCCAGCACTGAATTTTTTAGCCGTACCCAAGGGGGCGCTCTTTTACAATGCAACAACAACAACCCAGTTAAATCCCACAAGAGTAGGGTCTGGGGAGGGTGTGTGTACGCAGACCTTACCCCTACTCGAAAGTAGAGAGGCTGTTTCCAAAGAGACCCCCGGCTCAACGTCGAAAGTTGCATTGTTTGACTAACTGCTACTTCATTAATTAAAGAAGCGCAGACAGTTTAGAGATCCATTTTGATTTATTCTATCACACCCCAAAGCCAAAAAATGGTGAAATTTTGGCTCCATTGGAGATGATGGAAAAGAGTAAAAGATATAAATCTGATCCACGAATCTCAAGCAAGATTGCATAATGAAAAGAAAAGAACTCAATTAGAATAGCAAAGTTACCTTAAATCCACCAGGGCTGGGACTCTCCAAAAACCCATCTTCGGTAGCTAAAATCTGTTTTACTCCTTCAGAGTCACCATTCTTGATTGCCTCGCTGCTTAATTTCACATCATGTGTAATGCATATGGTCTTTTCAAAAAAATCAAGTGGGAATTCGGGCTTGGCACCACCATAAGCTTTGTTGTTAAGGATACCAGGGCCCAGCCTTTTAACCTTATCAGTAATGGCACTTATGTCAGTATCTACACCAGCTGGAACGTGTAAGTATATCTGAAGGCTTCCATCATCATACAAAACAAGACAGTGTATTTTGTCTTTTGATAAATGCTTGCTGTAAGCAGCAATACCAACTACAGGAGAAGTAGAGGTCAAGGCAACTGAATGTCGCATGTTCTGAGCAGCAACTTGATGCTCACCTATAGAAACAGCAAGGGCAGCATTTGATTTCAAACTTGAAAAGCAAACAAATAAGGCACCATCACCAAATAATTCTTTCCAGTGGTACAATCCAGCTGGCCGGAGATTGCTATCAGGTTCATTATCCAGCAGAGCAGATATCTCAGTCAAGGATGTTGCATCAGGATTTACCCGGCCAACTAAAGTAGTGCCATCTTGAAACGACACAAACAGAAACCCATGGATCGATGAAAAATATAATGAACAGCCTTTTTGATGTGCATCTCTTCCCTCCATTTGCATCACTTCTTTTAGTGGTGTGGCCCCCACATTTCCTCTCACTGATAAATCTACCCTATATAAGCAGCCACTCTCTGAGAGGACGATAATAAACACCTTACCTTGGGAAGCCATAACAGGGGTTGCATCAACAATCATGTCATCAGGCAATGTTAAGTACTGCATAGGACTAATATTGTCCTGGGATAAATCATATATTTTAACATATTTGTTGGTCACGACCATTAGCTGAACCTGAGATCCAGGAACCCAATATACTCGTTTAATATATGCACCTTGCAGGGAAAGTTCAATAGCCAAACGATCATTCACCTCACCTCGATGATTCACAGTAAAAACCTGGCAGTCCTCATAACCAGCAACAGCAAGGTAGTTCTCAGCTAAAGGATTGAAAACGAGATGCACAATCTCAAAACGGACAACATTCTTAGAAAGGGGTTTCACATTGGCCTTGTCCGCCATCACAGGTGCTACAGAGGGTTGCCCAATAAGCTGACCAACATCAAATATGGCTACCTTGTCACCTTCTCCAACAGCAAGCCGGCCTCGACTATTGACACTGAGTAGCGATTTGATGAGAGAACCACTAGCAAGAAGAGATTTGAGCTCCTTCGTATTAGAATAATCTGTCTTTATCTTCAAGTCCAAAGATCCACTTTTGTATGTTTTCTTCAATTGCAAAATATCACCACTGTAACAAAGCACTTTATCTTCACCTAAACTGATGTTTCTCTCCCTTGAGAGGCTGGAATCTCTCCGGATTATGATAGGGGTCAACAATGAAGAGCAAAGTCTCATAACATGAGATTCAATGTCAAGTTCGCTCAATAAGATAGGCATCCTCTCTTGAAGCTCTTTTGCAAATGGTATCCTGACAGAATTCTCTGAGTCCACAAAAATACCCTCATCATCTGACTCGCTATCAGGCAACTGATCACCACTTCCTGTGAAGTGCAGGAAAGACTGGAAGTTGCCAGAACCGCGATTTGGAGCATTGTTACTGCCAGCAAATTTTCGAGGTTTCAAGCACTGACAAGTACTACCTCGTACACCTCCTGCTCCACAATCACAGAAAAAGCGACTAGATCTAGAGTACACTACACGATGATCACGATGGCAAACTTTGGCGCACACAGAACAACAACCCTTGGAAATTGTCAGATCACATGTGTAACAGAAATACCAATGTTGTTCCATAAAATTACTGCCACTGGAAGTGAATGTGCAGACTTTTGATGCAAGAGCTCTTTCACTGTTGTTATCATCATCTTCATCCTTGTCAATGCTACCAATTTCCCCATCAGATGTTCCATCATCCTCATCTTCATCTACAGAAGTTGCATCACACTCTAGTGATGTTGACCCAGCTTGACTGGCAGAGAGATAAATAGCATCAGCATTCTTCCTGGAACCAAGGATTCTAGAAGCCGGAGGACCCACCCCCAAACTAAGGCCACAAGCAGACTTCATGGATGGCTTATCAAAAGAATCCTTGTTAGAGCTGCTATCACTTAGAAGAGTTGCAAGGAAGTCAACAATATATTTTAACCCCTGAAGCAAATGTCCATTACCAGCCAGCTTCTCTATCAGCATTGTGATCCGCTGCAGAAGTGCCCGGATTGATCTCTCCCCTCTGCAAGTCTGAACTACCAAATTGAAATAACATTTTGCAGTAGTAGGATCAAACATTAAAAAGGCACTGTCAAGTGAAATTAACATAGCTTCAAATATGTGACTGTGTAGTTCATCTGATGGAGTTTCAGATGACGTGGAAGTTATGCATGTTATGAAATTCATGGTAGATTCTCTTAGAGAATTTGATGCTCCTTTTGCACATGCAACGCCATCTGTCCCTTCAATGAATCCTAAAAGCCTCCTTCCAAGCCATTTTGACAGGTGAAGCGGACTCATTCCAAGAAATTTCTTATGTAATTTGTGTTTCACGTCAGTACACATGTCCCCCGATAAGAGCTCAACAAAAAAATTGAAAACCTTCACATTGACAGCTTCTGAGTTACAATTCTCCAGTGACTCAACCAGAAACAAAAAATCACAGCGCTGTGAGCCATAAAGATTCTTAATCCCCTCAGAGACACCCTCCACAGAGAGCAAATACTTGAAAAATCCACTTCCGGAAGGATCTTTTTTCAGCTTGTTAACAATGTCTATGGCACTAGAAACCAAGCATTCATGGATACCACTATTGCAAACTTCTCTCTTGTTCACATTCATCAAAACCTCTTCAATACATTTTATAATTGATAAAGTGCTATAATCGTATCTCTCTGAGTCTCTGGTCAGGTTTTGGTAAATTGCTTCACATATCCCATGAATCCCTTCAAAAACACTGTCCCCCTTGATTCTTAATACCAGTTCAAGGATCTGCTGTATGGTCTGTCTCTCCAAGGAGGTAATTTCCCCAGCATCCACAATTCTCAGCAATCCATTAAGAGCAGTCACTATATCTATGATACTAAGGATAGACGATAGAAGGATTCCACTGGGAGCCTGAATATGACAAGGCAAACCATGCAGCACAGAATCCCAGAATACCTTAAAACGTATTCCAAAAGACAATTTGTCAACAGCTACACCCATCTTTGATATAAGCTCTTGAAGGGGCTCCAATTGGCATTGTTTAAACCCCATCTTCTCAAAGATCTCATCTTTCATGCACTTATCAAGCCCTGTGTGTGTGAAAAGAAAGATGGGAGACATCCCCACAGCAAAACGTTGTCCATTATCAAATGTCAAAAGGAAAGCTTTCTGATAGACTTGCAAATATCTCTCCAACAAAGATGAGATAACATTTACAAGCTGTGTGGCTTGTTCCGGAGTTATAATAGATATCACACTATCGCCTAAAGCAAAAAAATCTGTATCTATAGATGCATGCTCTGTCCACTTAGGGACAACATATGTTATGGACATCTTCCTGCAATAAGCCCATATGCCAGTGGTTAGAATGGACAGTAACAATGACAACCAAGATCCACACCTCAGAAAATCCCAGCCAAGCTCTCCAACATCTTCTGGAACGTGAGAATTGTGCAACTGATGAAGCAAGCACAAAGAAATTCTAGAAAAAGCAGCATGATCAATTCTACCACCAGCATGACCCAAAATGGCTCGACCGAAATACACAAAATGTTCAGTACTTGAAATGTCGGGATCAACTGTGCCATGCAAGAAAGGCAGCAGATAGTCTGGTGTTGACTTCATATTTGGAATTGCCCAGCAAAGCACAAAAGTATATCTTTCAAGAATTAAATCTTCCACTTTTTTGGGTTTTCGACCTTTCCAGGATGATAGTATCCAGGAGAAAGAAGCGCTTATTTCATCCCAGCTCAAACCCAAGCATTCAACAGATGGATACTCTCTACATACAGCAGCAGAAGGTACAACATCAATAAGGTGATCCAGCAACTCATTGATAAAAGGTGCTTCTTTAATTGAAGCACTAGTTACACCATCCAGCAAAACCGAAGACCAAGATGAAATATTAGAAGAGAGACCACAAGAATGCATCCCTGATGTAGATGATTCTCTCAACTTGGTTCTGAATTCAGTAATCAAGAATGAAGGACAGCCGCGAGGGTAGTACAGCATGTGACGAAGCACCACAATCAAACGTGAAAGTAGTAATGCCCAGCATGACATTTGTGTACCATCAAAACCAGCAGGATCACCAACAGCTCTTAGGTTAGCAAATACTAAGTTTGCAAGTGCAGCCTTTTCATCCTCAGATGATAAATGAAATGCCATTAGAAGAATCTCAATATGAAACAAAGAAGGGAGATCTCTCACAAACTCTTTAATACTAGGACAGTTTGATGATATCACTTTTGCTTTGTCATTAATGTAATCAACAAAAACTTCATAAAGTTTGGACCTCAAGTGACTACCAGCCATACCCACCCGACAAATAATTGTGTGGGCAATTAAGGCAAGAGTTTGGTTGTTGTACATAAGTGCACCATTTTGAACAAGGATTTTCTCAACGAGGGATTCTTCGAGTGAATCAGGTAAAGCACGAAAAGAGAGAAGACTATGCAACAGCTCAATGCAACGTTCATGAATGACCAAGTCAAGCCCAAGTTTAGCAGCATCAGATTTTTTTCCATCAGGCTCACAAGTATGAGAATGAACAATATAGAGTAAAATACTAAAGTGGTTGCTTTTGAACTTTTGGCACCCATCTTCATAGAAAGGACGACACCAATCAGGAGCAAAAGCACAGTTCTTAAGAAAAGAGAGCAGTTTGGTTTCAGCTTCAGCTAGCATATTGCTGAAGTTGGAAACAGAACTAGATGCAACGGCAGATTGATCATATCCGTCCGAAGAACCCACCGAACGACTGCCCTCTGAGAAAAGGTCCCCAAAGAGCGCTTCATCTTCATGACAAACTGTGGTTTCTAACTCAGGCGTACCAGATACTTTCGTGGCAGTAGAGGATGATCCATCGAGCTTTGGCCTCAATCTGATACCTTCAGAGTGAAGAAAAGAAACAAGATGCATCATATTATCCACCCATTGGACTCGAGGGGGGAACATTATTCTGAAAAGCTCCTCAACTGTATACTTCTTCAGCACGAATACTGAATCTGAATTTACCTTGCATGTTGGGGACTCCATTTGAGAATCAGTGTCACAGCTAATATATTCCATGTTTAAACCCCTAAATAGCTGATATGTCTGATCCCTAACATCTAAAATCAGCCTCAATAGATAAACAACAACTCGGGGGAAGTAAGCCAGCGGGGGCTTAGGGTTGGAGACAGTCGTGTTGTACCTCCATAAGTCTGGACCCAAATTTTCCAAAATCGAAGCTGCAACACATACTTGGATGTTCTGAAACACAGTAGTGTTGCAAAAAATCGCATGCACAAATTGGATAAACTCTTCCAACAAAAGAATTATGAGACTTTCAAAACTACCCTCAATAACATGGCCGCTGCTTGGAAATTCAAAACTTGCTCTGAACACAGCAGACAATGTTTCAGCGAAAGAAGCAATAGATTTCACCAATTTGATGTCAAAATAAGTACATGGGTAATCTTTTGTGAGAGTTCTGAGTAACTTAAATACTTTGACACAAGAAGAGAATTTCTTTCTCAAATTTGAGCAGGCGGGCTTATCATTAAACAAATCCGGACCTTCTAAAAAATCTTTGCAGATGGAAACAAGATGGTGAATACATCCCAGGTGAGCAACATCCTTCTCTTCTTTCGAGCATCTTACCCCTATAAAATATTAAACAAATTCAAATATTAATTGTTATGAAAATTATATCCTTGTGGAAACTAGAATTAGAATGATAAATACCTTGAAGCAAGGACTTCATTTGCTCCTGCCACTTATTACTATCTTCTTCTTCAGAGACTGATGGCAAAAGATCCATGAGACTATTGAAAAAACATGGCTGTGAAGAATCCAACTCTTTGTCTGCCCCATCAACAAGTGGCGTGTCCACCAGTGGCAACATGTTACTCTGAATAAGAGAGCTTAAGTTAGAAACACTGAATGTGAACAGCTAAAATGGTGTCATAACTTCCACATTTAAACGAAAATTCTTATTAATGTTGACCAACTGTCACTAAAGTGAAAACAAGATACAATTCTAAATTCTTTGACGAAGTTCCATTGAGTCAAACAAAAGCTAATGGTTGAGAGAACCTCAATACAATTTCTACACAAATACTTCCAAGAAGCAAGGACCAGATTTGTAACATAAATTTACTTGCAATCAGCAAGGACTGGCATCTTACTACATATAATAATGCAGTTTTTTAACCCCTCCACCCAAAAATGAACTTTACGGTTTGACTTCAAGGAATTTAAGAGAAGTGTTGAAAGGTAAAAAGTGTGTGGTTGAAATTTGTTAAGAAGAGGAGAAAATGTTAAGAGCCATATGTTTCTTTCCTTAATAGAGAGTAAGAAAGTGTTAACTTTATTTTGGGACATCCCGAAAAGGGAATTGTGATCTTCAATTTGGGAGGGAGGAACTTTTCTAAGCCAATTTTCCTGTCAAATCCAATTGCCACAGTCTACGGGTTGATTGTGGGCAATTGGGCATTGAATAAAAGACATTGATGAAAAAGTCTATCCACAAATTCGACATCATATCAAATTTCTAGAGTAATTACACTAATGATCGTCAGATCGTGGAACATTACGCAAAAAATTATCCATAACTTTCACTACATATCAATTTGCTATAGCAGCAAATCGAAGTGGGATGCACACGCGGAAAGTTGTCCAATGTCTAGATTTTTTATATTTTCAATAAGACACAATTCTTAACACCATCACACACAACTGAATATTCCATAATTTACAAATTTGGTGCACGTTAAGAGTAGGTAATATATGTAAATTTTATAAGATCTACACTTGAATAAGATAAGCTAAATATTTACTGGTATTTTGAAGTTCTTGAACAGATTTGAAATAGAACAATCACTGAAACCTGTGAAATTTTTTTTTCAGAACAATGTACATACCAGTTCTTCGGAACCTCAAAAATTTCTACAGAACGAATCATCATTTAAATAGATATGGGTGGAATATTGACAAAGTTTATCATTCTCTCCATAGCTTATGGCAGTGGATTAATCATGTACTCCCTCCGTCCTATAATGATCTTCCCAGTTTGGTTTACGAGGTTTGACTAAAATTATTTTCAATTCAATTTATTTGATTATAGGTGTACAATTAAAAAATAAAAATTATATTTTTGAAAAGTACATTAAAAGTTCTACAAAACAAGAAGTGACATGACTATATTATTTTATCAACTAACTAAAGAAAATAGGTAAATAAAGTGATTAAAGTTTGACCATGTGAATAGTGACTGGGAAGATCATTTTAGGACGGAGGGAGTAACAAATTGTTAATGTGGTACATCCTCGTTAAAAATTATTTTCCGGCGTGTTAAATCTAAAAGAAATTATATCTTGCTGTTCAAAAATATGTCATCACAGTATTCCTTCCTTCTAATATAAAGATGCATCTTATATATGTTGTATAATAATGCAGAATACAGTTCGCTTGCCAATTATCCCCACCAAGGATACAAGTAGACTCTCTAGGAAAAATGGCGTGTGGGAACCTTCAGTTGTGCGAGCAATAACATTTAGAGTTCGAGTTGTGCAGGCTGCAGAATACTGCAAAAGACTAGACAACCACAATTATAGATATTTTATTGTTCTCATTTAAAATTTCAATGTGTTTTGCTATATATCCCCTCCGAAATGGCCTGAAACTGCTCGTGCTCTCACTACATAAATTGAACTAAAAATGTTCACTCCTCCCACACCAGTAAATCCAGTATCTTTGCTTAATACTTTTGGTTGTACACACGGTTTACTCATGTAATAGGAACATGTAACTTTAAAAAATATTTTTTAAAAAAAATGCAAACATGTTACTTCAAAACCCTGAGAAAGGCAAGTTTTTGAAGAAAAAAAACATCAACATATACAAAATCTCAAATTGAAAATAAACATTATGTAAAACAAATCGAGTGCATATCTGAGACATGAATACAGGATCCACAGATTGGTGTTTTCATGAGCATCTTTGAGAATACATGGTACTAGAATATCATCAGAGTAGTGTTTCAGATGTTGATATTCGACCATAGATCTAAAAAATCATCAATGATACAAGACAAACACCTGATGATCGTGTTCCATTTCTGGATAATCAAAACAACAGGTGATTTTTGTTTGAGAATCTCTGATGATGATGGGAATCGAAACAGCGAACACCGGAGATGAAGTGCGGAGAAAGAAATACCTGATGGAGTTTGGATGGCTGTGCTGAAGAAAAGACAGTGAAGTGTCCTCCGTCGAATAAGAATGAAGGAGGCGAGACCAGAAAGGAAGCTTGTTAATCAATGGGAGGATGGCATTGTGCCATTTGAAAGTGGTAGAGAAAAAAGGATTAGAGTCGGTCTAAAATGTCCCAAATGTGCCCCCCTACTTTAACAGACCCAAGAAGCTTAGTAATTAAGCAATAGTTTTACAACTCTTTTTTGAATAAGATTGAGGTTGTTGGGGAGCAAAATTGACTGTTTCTACCCTCCCTAATCCCTCGGTACCCGAACACACCCCTCACACACATCCTTCAATTGCAACCTACAAGTTGATTTTGACTTTGGAGTGCAATATAATTGAAGATGGTGGGAGGTGTGTTCGGGTCGGGGCGGGGTGGAGGGGTTAACCGAGTGGGTAGGAACCGTCAATTTTATGAACGGGACACCAGAGCGTCCCTGGGTCATCCCATGACATTGCCGGGTAATGTCATGGGAATCTTGGTGGCAAAAGATATACTCCCTCCGTCTCAGAGTATTTGTTCACTTTCATTTTTACACATCATCCAATGCACTTCGTTAATCTATTTTATCTTATAATTTGTATATTAAAAATTTATAGAAATTATATATTACTCCCTCCGTCCTAAAACTTTCTTCCCAGAGCACTATTCCAACTTTACGGGAATTTATATTTATTTGTGTTTTTTCATGGCCTATACGATAAAATAAAATATTCTTGTTACCACTTGTTTTGTTGAACTTTTGATGTAGTTTTTAAATATGTATGTTTTATTTTTTATTTCTATACCAATATTTAAATAAAATAGATTGAAAAAACTTGGGATTTTTCTTCGTTTTGCGCAACGGGAAGAAAGTTTTAGGACGGAGGGAGTAATAATCTATATGTTAAGACGAATCAAACTAGATTACACATGACTATATTTAGGCTTACACATTGAGAGAATTTGATAAGTCAAACTGATTAGATAAATATTTTCAAAAGTCAAAAGTGGACAAAAACTGGGGGACGGAGGGAGTATGAGATTTGATATTTCTAAATATTTAATTCTTTTTCAATATTTACTAAAGTCTGATGGTGTAAATTATCGACCCGTATATCGTTTTTAGCCCGGCTAAAACGATTAACTAGTCTAAAAAATACACCAAAATATAAACACGAGGATTTTTACGTGGAAACCTAAATCGGGAGAAAACCACGGGCCTTTTTTGGCGGTATCTTGCCAACGGGAGATTTTTATTAATATCGGAGGTGTGTACACGGTACATGATTTAGGCTAGAAGCCATTAATGGAGCATTTGAGCTCTTGAAGAAGAAGAAAATATACACAAGCTTTCTAGAGAGAGAGTAAATGGGCACGGAAGGAGTGAAGAGTGTGAATTGCCCCCATCAACAATTAGGGCAACCCTCCCTTTTATAGGAGATGGTGAGAGCATCTACGAACGAATATTCTCTTATTCCTCTATTTTATTAAACAGACCCGATTTAACTGTTCTTCGTAAATATTTGGGAAATGTGGGCCGAGCCACGTATTATTTCCCATCAAGAAAGTCAAAAGAGATATACAGTTTGATATCTCATGATATCTTAAATCTTTCAAATATAGAGTTTTGATATATGTCTTAATCGTTGATCATTTCCTGCCACAGACTACTTGTTGGATTTATAAAATGAAGAACACTGCGAAGCAGTGTTAAACGAAGAACTCGATAGAATAACGAATCGCGTACGAAACGCTTTCAGATCAAAGTTATTTCGGGGTATACGAAATACTTCAATCGGATAAGACGTTGATTCAGAACAAGCACTCGAGAATCTGTCTCTCAACCCATACCACGAGACTCTATTTTATAGAGTCGAAAATCCTTGTGATCGGACATGAACATTCGCGTAGATGTACGCGTATGTTCGCACAAGAAGAAGAAAGGTGCGAGTTTGAACGAAAGGTCTCCTGCGGTTGAAGGCTTAATTTCGACGTTTATCCATTATGTACGAGTCCTTTACCGTTTAGGACTCCGGTCACGAAAATCTTAAGGATTTTCTTAAAGAAACAACGTTCGAACATACGTCTATTTAAATTCTTGTCCCTTGGACCTTGGACCCCGCCAACCGGGGGCTGCCGCCCCCGGACCCCGTAATAAATTTATAATATCGTTGAACGAGCGCGCACTCCGCGCCTCCTCACTCGTTTGACAACGTCTATTTAAATTCTTGTCTGATCAAAGTAAATCCAATTACACAAAATAAATTGATGACACTAAAATCACCAACACTACTATTATCACCGCCAATCACTCCCGTTGTCGGTCACCCCTACTCATCACTAATTAAATCATAATTTCAAATATCATAAAACAACTTCGTTTCATATTTCAAAACTCGCATCATTTCTCTCAAATTTCAAAACTCATATCTTATCATACCTCCAAAACAGGGTTGGTCTTGAGAATTCATAGGCATGGGCCGAAACAGAATAAAGACCCTAAAAATTTTATCCTTACGTGTTCATCCTCTTAAACATGTTCTTGCTCTATTTGTAAATGTTCTTGCTCTTCCATCTCTTTTATTTCTACTTCTTCATCTTTAACAATAGATTTAATAAACTTATATAGAGCTCCGGCTTGAGACTTTCTCATTTCTTCATCTCGTTTTCTCTTTTTTCCTTTTTGACTACCGGATAATTGTTTAGGAGCCATAGCTATTAAATTATTTCTGAAATAAAATCCAAATTCATAACTTTTACTACTTGGTAAAATCAAATGTGAAAAAGCAAGCAAATAAATAAATATATCATAAATTCATATCAATTCATCAATTTTTCTTTTTTTATTTTTTTTAGTTTTAATTTTTTTATAAATCATAAATTTATATGAATTCGTCAATTTTTCAGTTTTTAATTTTTTTTTCGGTTTCAATTTTTTTTATATAAATATATCATAAATAACAAATTCAATCAATTCATCCAAAACAAATAAACAACATATAGAACCATTAATTCATTGTATTTCAAAAAATGAAATTAGAAAAGATTTCAAATTAAAAATTATTAATTAACCCTAGATTTAAAATCTAAAAAATGAAACAATGAAAGAAAATTAAGAAATAATTTCGTCGGTCTCCTTCAATCGGTTCTTTCTTTTTTTTTCTTTTGTTCACGACTCTACGCGGCTAAGAAGAATTAGGAATTTAAGTATTATATATATATATATATATATATATATATATATATATATATATATATATATATATATATATATATATATATATATCTATATATATATATATATATATATATATATAATACTTTAAAAAAATTTGTGCCCCTAAAATACTTGGGCCTCGTCGGGAAGGACACTTTGTCCCGCTACTAGGCCGGCCATGCTTCAAAATTCACCAAAAGACCCTAAACCTACGAAATACTAAGTGCGTATATTGTTATAGGCTCGCAGTGTAAATATTTTAATTTTGAGATACAAAGATTGCAATCTTATTTTTGCTACAAGCCTATAGATTCGATGTAATAATAATAATAATAATAATAATAATAATAATAATGATAATGATAATGATAATGCCAGCATATAATGCTAAAAAAATCCATACAATGCCAAAATATGTACATTATAATAGTGCAATGATGTAGCTTTGGTGATAAGAACACCGAAATCATAATTTATTATAACTTCAATATTTTAGTCTTATTTAAGTATCATTCTTCTTTTTAATTAGTACCCGGTAATAACATTTTGGGTAATTTTTAGTATTGCAATTTAACTTTAGAAATTCCAAAATTAAACGTTCTCATTAGATAATCTAAACGCTAAAATTGTTGTTAAAAAACTTTAATAGAAGAATATGATTATTTCATTCATACATTTGGTTATAAAAACATAGAGGTGATAGAATCGAGGAGCCCGGGTGATACAAACCAATAAATACAATATACTCCGTACAAAGAATATATGCTTATGCTAACACCAGCCGCTGTTTGTCGTTGCAGGTCGTCCCAGCGCCACCCGTATTGCCGTCGATGTCCGTCGACTACAAATTCTCCCGCAACCATTTGTTCTTCGGCGGCTACCACGCTGCGTCCATACGCCGGCCGGCCTACTGCTCTGTCTACCAGCGTCAATTTTTCAACCGATTGAAAGATTTACTGGTTGGTTAAACATCAATTTAAATTTCTACCAATGATTTTAATATGATATTTTCGTAATTGAGTTTTGCTAATTTCGACCAAGGATTTCAATTTCTACTTGAGCCGCAGCGCAGTAGTTTTGCCCAGCCGCAGCGCAGTAGTTTTGCCCAGCCGCAATAGGATTTTGATCTGATGTTGAAAAATGTATCAATCATGAATCATGATTAAACCCCAATTTGACAACATTATCAAAGTTGCTTGTTCATACTCTGTATAATGGTACAGAGTTTCTGAATCACTCGTTACGTTAGTTTTATCAGGAAATTAGTGTATGCGTTCAAATTTATTGTGTATGTAACACCAACAGAATGGATGACTTAAACACAAACATCGTCATACTCTTAACGTTTGTTCGTTCATGCTACCGGGCTCTCTTCCAATTGAGTTTGGTGAAGATTCTGTCAAAATTGCAATCTTATTAATAGTACTCTCGCAAAAGTTTTTTTTGGGTGGTAAGTCTCCTATAGAACTACTCAACTCAAAATTCTCGGAATCTGAGTCAGTTTTGCATCTTTGGTTTGTCTTGTGTTCGTAACACTTAACGTCTACTAAATAAATACTACCATAGTAATAACGTTGGGGTTCCGTGGCCACTGGATTTAGTGGCTGCTGTCGTTGCCATTGGCTTTTTGGAGCACCTCCGGTGTTCTGTTTGTAAAATTGATAATCCCTGCCTCTCTTACTCATAATAGCCACACATCTAGAACAACAAGGAATATGTTGAAGTGGGTGCGTAGGGATTTAAGGAGAAGAACCATCGATTTTGCGAAATGAGCACCGGAGATACTCCAAAAAGTCTGTGACAACGCAGTGGTCACCAAAGCCAGTGGCTACTGGACCGACCTGTATATACTACGTATTTGTTAGACTAGAGAGTTTAAGACTTAAGATGGATAATGTATGTATCACTATGTACCTAGTTCTAATCGAGTCGGTAACATAGGAAGTTAACATTTAAAAAAAATTATTAAGATTGAAAATATAGGAAGTTAACTACTTCAACAATAGTAGCCTAACATAACATCTTGGGTGTCTAATGTAATCAAAGCAAGCGTTTACATTATTATATACGGAGTAATTATTATACCAACTAATTAAGCTAGAGTTTAATTCTTCTGAGACGTTAATGGCGGAGGAGGGTTGCCAGGCGAGGGTCTGAATGGGAATGGAGGGAGAGGAATTGGGAAGAACGGAGGAGGCAGTGGAGGAGGCGGCGGCGGAGTGCTGACGCCGGGAATTGGAATTGGCGGGAACAGTGGAGGGAATATTGAAGCGGGCGGAGGCGAAGGAGGCGGCGGGAATAGCGGTGGGAATATGGAAGGCGGCTGCGAAGGAGGCTGGGGGAAAAGCGGCGGGAATATTGAAGGCGGCGTGGACGGAACGAGGGGAGGGAAGATGGAAGGCGGCGGAGAGGGGATGATCGGAGGAATTAAGGACGGCGGCGGCACGAAAGGGTTGGGCGGGAGCAGGGTCGGCGGCGGGAGTAATGGGTTGGGCGGCAAAAACGGCGGGAAGATGCCAATTTGTTCTACTTCTTCCTTTGACCTGCAAATTTCCGGCGGCGATAGAGGCCGGAAAGTGAAAGCGCCGGCCGAGAAAACCACGCGGCGGCTTCCTTCACCCTCTTTCGTTTCCTTAGTGAGGTGAATAGAAGAAGACGTGGCGGCGGCGGCAGAGGCGGCGCAGCTGGATTCGCCGCTTCCTATCAGCTGAACAGAGCATCCCCTGATTCTCTTGATTCCCTTTGCAACAGAGAAAGGGAGTGGCACCGTGAACTCTCCGCCGTCATTTGTCTTCACCTCCCGGCGAAAACTTGGCCGCCGCCCCTTCGCCCGCGCTCCGCATTCAACCGCCACAGATGCTCCTGATGATCATAGTTAGAAACATCAGCGTTCGAGCATCCAAGGTAACACGAACAGTATTTTAAAAATAAATATTCCATAAATTAATAAGTACTCCGGTATTAATTTCTACAATTAAAAATATTTTATAGTACTCCGTACTTCGTAATTATCTTACGGATCCCTTCATCCTTTTGTATATTCCCAATTAAACAATTTAGACCTGAATTTTTAAAACTTTGACTACAAGTTAAAAAAAATATACTCCGTATTAAATTGTGATATAAATTTAATATGAATAAGTTTATGTTGAAAGAGAGTTTTGAAACATTACATTTTATAATGAAATATTTGCGCTAAATAACACTAAAACTTAAGTCATTTTTTTAAAAAGCACCTAAAATGTACTCCCTCCGTCCCACAAAAAAGTTTCCATTTTGACCATAAATTTGTCAAACTGTTGCACACTTTGACCCTAAATTAAATATAATCTAAATAAAGAAATGCTAAAAAAATTTGAGATATCAAAACTAGATCCTAAGATGAATCCAATTATATAAAATTTATTTCATAATTCAATATATCTTTCTCACAATTTGTAGTCAAAGCGTGTAAATATTTGACTAAATACTGTTCAAAATGAGAACTTTTTTGTGGGACGGAGGGAGTATTATTCTAAAAATAACATTTAATAATGTCCAGAAGGTGGAATAATATCCAGTGATGACGATCAATTACTTGAACATTGACCAATAGATAATGACTAAAAGTGCTATATTGGAAAAAAACGCATATGATGTTACGTTATTGAGATAAAGTCATTATGTTTTAGTACTATATAAGTAAATTCCTCTGTTATAACATGTACTCCGGGGTATTTATCTATGAATAAAACCTGAAATGAAGTGGCGAGATTTAGAAAAATGTTCTTGATGATGATGATGGGTACAAGTATCATCACAGTAGACTGTGCCCACAACAACTGCGGCATGATGATGATGATGATGCCTGCTTCTCTCTTCTTCTAATGGTGATGAGGCCTTAGTTCTCCATATTACTGATGAGCATAATATGAAGAACAAAACCCAGACACGAAGTCCTTTAGAAATCACCATTTTAGATATATTATTATAAACACATATCTTGTGGATGAATATGTGTGTGTATATATATATATAGGTGGAAGGTTCTTTATTTGTTGTCAGAGGAAATTTGTTTGTAATGGCAGGTAGGGAACGAGGATCTTGTCGTGCTTGCCTGCTTGGGTCCCACTTGGTTCACGAGATGCAATTTTTTCTCCGAGAGAGCATTCAAGTTATGCTTAGTAGTGATCATCCACAACAACATTCAATTGTTAATTGAAATTTGCACTAAATAGGACTAAAACATAATAACTTTCCTAATGTAGGACTTAAACTTTTTTATTCCCTAAATAGGACTTAATAATGACCTAGTGGGAGGAATAATGTCCCGTAATGATGGACATTTACTTGAATAATGATTACTTCATAATGACCAAAGGTCCTACATTGGAAAATAAAAACATATAGTTCTATATTGGGAAAGTTCTTATGTTTTAGTCCTATTTAGGTAAATTTCACTATTTTGTTTGGTACATGTGTTCTTTACTATAACATCAAATCATGGAAATATCAATGTCGATCAATTTTAAAAATGTGTTAATAATATTGCATGCTAGTCTCGGCTCTCGAGTAAATCTCGTTTACACATGCATGAGAAAGAGTGTTAGAACATCGGGAATAAAATAGTTTGTGAATTTTCCACTACAAGTCTGTGTGGGAAATAAAATATCAAATTCGATACAAATATTTGTTACTTCTATATTACTCTGTTCGTTCCAAAATAATTGTTTTGCTACTTTACCTTCCTATTAAAGTAGATAATATACAGTCCATAATTTTTTCTTTTTATCTAGTCAAATTCCAACTTCTTATTTTTTTAATTTTCAATACTTTTTTTAAACTCTATAAAATAATACTGAAACAATAAATTCCGGGAGGGAAAAAGTGTATAGCCCATTTAATTTAGGTCACTTTCATGGCCCGATATAAACATGTTGAGAGATGTTCGGCCCAAATTTTGGGGGCGGGCTTAGTTCGCCCAAATATTTGCAAAAAAAATACCCCCTCCCTACTAAAATGTTCTTCCCACTAACTTTTCACACGGTCAAACTTTATTCACTTTCTTTACTTATTTTCATTAGGTATTTAATAAAATAATATAGTCGTGTCACTACTTGTTTTGTAGAACTTTTTATGTAGTTTTTAAATATATAAATTTTATTTTTTAATTTTATACCTACAATCAAATAAATTGAATTGAAAATAAAGTCGGTCAAACTTCGTAAACAGAACCGGGAGGACGGAGGGAGTAATAAACACTTTGTGCAATTGGTGTTAGTGTGTACTCCCCTAAATGAGGAGACAGATTGATACCCTCCCATATCTGTGTTGAAAGTGACGGATTTGTCCCTGCGGGCAACTCTTTTTCCTGATCACGGGCTATAGTTTGTGAGAAGAACAATTACTCCGTATATTATTGTATACTTTCTTTTTTGCTTTTTCGCTCCGCTAATGAGAAAATGCATTTTCATTCATCCTAAAGCATAGAAGAGTGGGTTGGTTCACCTCGTGAATTCATTTTTGTTTCTCTTTAACTAATTTATATTTTCTCTGTTATTTAAGATCTTCTTATTTTGACTTTTAAGAAAATTAAGAGAAATATTTTTGTATAGACTTTCCAAAAATATCCTTGATGTGATGATTAAAAATAGGATGTAATGATGAGTAGATTATTAGTGAAAAGATATGATGTGATAGATAGTGTAAGAATTTATTTAGGTAAAAGTAATTTATTAAAAGAAGTAGGAAGAACTTTGTGTGACAGAAAAAAGCAAAGTGAAGAAGTTTATGGGAACACATGCATGTATAGGATTGGAGCAAAGACATCTACTTTAATTTGGAGAAAAGGGACAATATATAAATGTTTGAATCATAATTATATTAAACACAGATGGAATTGAAAGAAAACAAGTTAGGAAGACGAGTAAGTAGTGTTTATATAAAGGAAATTAAACAAGATACATTATCTTATTGTACAATAATAAGCATATAAGAAAATTGAACACACACACAAATTAAATACAGTAGAGTAGGTCTCTAATACAATATAGTCCAGGCCGCCGCCGGCCAATCAATCAAGATCGATGAAGGGAGTGCTTATTGCAGATTGATAATTGATGAGGTCCTCACGCTTTTTCACACATGATATGATATGATATATGATATGATGCATGGCATGCACATTTATGGTGTGTATGTGTGTGTATATATATATAACACATATATATGCATCCCTTAATTGTGAGGATGATGAACCTTGTTCTTCTTCTTCTTCATCATCAATTGTGATCAAATTCTCTGATCATATATATGTATCATATATATGTCAAAGCATCCATCCGGGGAGCACGGCGTTGACATTTTGTGCGTTACTTGCTGTTGTTATTTGGGTGGAAGTAGCAGCAGCTACCGGATTGAACCTGCATAGAAACATAAGTTTTTCGTATGAAGAAGCAAAATTTGCGGGTATTTCTATGTGATGGTGCTTATTGTGGCTTATGGCCGATAAGTAGTTTTTAACTTATAAGCTGCTTATAAGCCAAATATTATTTGATCAAAATAAAATGATCTAAATGATAGATAAGTCATTTGAAAATATTCATAAATGGTGAGGGATAATTTTGCCAATAATATGATCAAAACGAAGAAATGAAAAAATAAAATTGTCTTCAAAATAAGTAGGTAAGACCTAGTCTATAAGGTACTTATCTTTTCTAGCTTAATTATAGAAACATGTCATCAACTGACTTATAAGCTAAAAACTGCTTATCAGAAGCTTTTACCAGTTTGTAAGCAATAGTTTATAATTTCTTCAAGCTAAGCACAGTCCCAATTTATAAGAATGTGAATTTGAAGAGAGACATGCATAAGATTACCCGATATGCAAAGTGGAATCACAGTCCAAGGGTTGGAAGAAAGGATGATGAGGAACGTGATCATGATGATGGTGATGATCTGTATGGTGATGGTGGTGCTGGTCGTATGAACCACTTTGGTCACCCCATTGCTGTTGAATGTTATTTTCCACATATATTTCTTCAAGCTGCACCACACATGCATGTCAAAAGTGTTCTCTTATTTTAAAAAAATACTATTTTATTATTCACTCTCTCTGTCCCAACATTAATAGCTTGTTTTGGTTTACGATTTTTGATTGAAGTTGTTTTCAATACAATTTATTTGAGAATTGAGGTGGAAACAAGAGGTGGCATTTTCAATACATATTTAAAAAGTACATGAAAAATTCTACGAAACAAGATGTGACATGTCTATATTATTTGATCAAATGAGTACGAAAATTGGAGAAGAAATTAAATACAGTTTGACATGTGAATATAATACTCCCTCCGTCCCAAAACGGTGGATACATTTTGACTAAAGTATAAATTAAGAGATGAATAATTTTTTGTTGACTTTCCAAAAATACCCTTGATGTAATGGGTAAAAGTATGATGTGATATGTAGATTATTAGGAAAAATGTATGATATGATAGGTATGGTTTGAAAAAGTAAAGGGTAAAAGTGGTTTTTTAATATAAATGGGTAAGGGATTGTGGGATACAATTTTTTTGAAACGTGTAAATCTTTTCAGGACGGAGGGAGTAAATAACAACTTAATTTGGGACGAAAGAAGTAGAATAACATATAATTGCATCATAGAGTCATTTTAGACCATCCTATCTCGTTTAATTTCTCCATTAAGCAATAAATGTGTATGCGAAAAATAAATCAAGAATGCCTTGCATTTATGTGGTACATTTAATTAGTATGTACTACTAGAATATATACATACCTTTGACTCAAGAGTTTTATTAGCCTCCAACCAAAGCTTTTCCTATGCATAAACATGAATTATATCCTTTAGTGTGTATTTTCCACAGACTATTGTAGGGCCACAAATTCCACAATTGTTTTCTTTGTATGTTTTGATTCCATTTAAGTAATCTTCTCTTATTTATATTTAACTTTCTATGGGAACAACATCAAACAATTTTAAAATGTATAGAGAAACACCTCTTTGAATTTATTCTTAACAAATGGCAACTTTAATAACATAGGAGTATTTGATAAATAGTTGTTCAAATTGGATACATAGATAAATCTAAGAAAAATCAGTGTTAGTTAACTAGTACAAATGGATGGTAGTGTAGGGAGATACTGTATGTTCAATGTAAGACAATACCTTCGTTTGAAGATCAGATAGCTGGTCAAGCATCATTTGAGTCTGCCACATAAGTACTTAAGTTAGACCAAAATAAATCAAGTGTGAGGACAAGACTTCAAGACTCATATTTGTGTTATAATAAGCCATCAATAATAAATTAAAAGTTAATTAAAAGATATATTGGTAGAAAAGTTGGTGTTGATGAGGAGATTGATTTTCCAAACTAGAAACTATGTAGAGTAGGCAAATGTTATTGTGGACTTAAGATCCGCACCATTTAAGTGGACCTTTATATGAGCATGAAAAGCAAATGCTTAATATCTTGATAAATATTTTTTGCAAAACAATATGAAAAAGATTTATGTAGTTAAAAAATAAGTATTTGCTTACAACCCAAAATTACGTAGACTTTAGGTCAATCAAATAAGCACCATCGAGGCTAATATAGATCATCTTAGAGCATTATTAGTGGGGTTGTTTAAGAGTGGTTGCGCAAAGATTTAATTGCGTTACTAAGTAATTATTCTAAAAACGAAGCAACTTGTTCTCCCCATAATGCTCTACATGAGCTTTTTAGAGTAAAACAACACACCATTTAAGATACTCTTAAATAAGAAAGTAATCTCTAGATTGAAAATTTTAAATATCGATCAAGAAAAATAAAATATGGAATATATTTTGAGACAGAGCATATTGATTTGTACTACCTCTGTCTCATAAATACCTTTTGTATTTAACTTTGACGTAGTATAAAAACACTCCAATTTAATTGTAAAAAAAATGAGGTGAAAATTTCTGAGAGAAAGACTAAAATAAAAGTAAAACAAAAAAAAAGAATCAAAATAAGACTTTTATGTTTTTATCTCCAAAATAAAATTTATAATACAAACATATACTCCATATAAAGCACCATATTGTCACTATGAAATAGTCATATTTTATAAAGAAATATTTGCGCTAAATAGCACAAAAACATAAGTCATTTTTCTAAATAACACTTAAATTATTTTATTCCCTAAATAGCACTTAATAATGTCCATAATGACCAATGATGGCAAACATTTACTTGAATAATGACTAATGGATAATGACTAAAAGTGCTACATTGGGGAAAAAACACATGTAATGCTATTTAAAATTAAAGAAAGTCATTAATTATGTTTTAGTGTTATTTAAGTAAATTCGCCTTTTATAAATAAAAACATGTGACTCATATTTTGGTAATAAAGCCTATATTTTCTTATATTTGGCAATTTCTTTAATTTTTTTAAGAAAAGAGAAATTTTCTAGAAATTCTCTAAGCCATATATTTGTTTCTTAAAATGAAATGATTATTTTTGAGTAACTTGAAAAAAGGTGTGAAAATTTTCGTGGGATAGGGAGGTTTATTATGACCTCACAAAATTTTAAACAATGAAAAGTAGGTAGTCAAAATATGTTTAGAAAAGTTGTAAGGAACACAAGGATCTCATACATAAGAATAGGGGAAAATAAAAATTTAGTTTAGAAAAAATAAAAAAAAATAAAAAATGAATCTAATTCAACATGAGAGACCAAAAAGAAAACTCTGACTCATAAAACTCACTTTTTGGTTGGGTAGGAGTATATATGACATTCTACCCAATGGTTAACATGTGTTATTAGTACACATGAACCAAATCCCATTTTCACAACATTTTTATGGCCTTTGAATTGGTCTCAAGCTTAATTGCTAGGACCATGCTACACTTACACAAAAAAATATACCCTATTTGTACACCACATGCTTACACAAACATTTCGATGGTTTACACCGACACAAGTGTTGGTGCGTAAATAAATATTCACATGGACACAAATGTTGGTGCGTTTAACAAAAATTAGTTTTACACCAACACAGAGTGTTGGTGCAGAACTGCGGGGTACAAATTGGGGTACAAACTTTGGGGTACACATAGCATAATCCTAATTGCTATCTCCCGCCTTCTCTAGAAAGGAGTTGTCACTCCTTCACGAGGTGTCACATTATTAAGAAGGTACAAAATACATCTATAGAGTAAACCTTTTTCATCCTTTACTCTTTTAAACAACTTTGTCGTTTGAAGTCATAGGGTTAAAAAACTAAAAGTGTTCAATGAAAAGTGAAATACTCCCTCCGTCCCATGAAATCTTTCTCCTTTCTTTTTTTATCCGTCCCACAAAATACTTCTCATTTCTATTAAAAAGTAACTTTTACCCCTTACTTTTTTATACCCTAACTATCACATCATATTTTTTTACTAATAATCTATCAATCAAATCATACTTTTACCCATCACATCAAAAAAAAAATTGGAAATTCAATACCAAAATACACTCCCCTTAAATTCCTCCTAAAAAGCAAAAGTCCATGTTTCATGGGACGGAGGAAGTAGTATATATAGACATGGCAAAACAAAATCAGAACCAATAACTCAACCGAATCATCTGAAAACAAAACCGAAATGATCCAAAAAAAATAAGGAGCCGATTTATAATCGAAAATCCGAAATGATCTAAACCGAATTGAAATCGAACTAAATAATTCAAACGCAATTTAAATTCGAAACCAAAATATATTTGATCCAAATTGTATCTGAACCAAAACCTATCTGAATCGATTTATATTTGAATCGTATCTGAACCAAATCGAAACTGAAACATATATATAACCGAATCAAATCCGAACAAAAATTAAACCGATCCAAACCGAACCAAACCGATTATAATATATATCCGAAAGATATCCGAATCGAAAAATATCAATCAGAACCGATCCGTTTGACTAAATTGCCACCTTTAACTGTATATATGTAGTTAGAATTTATTAGAAAGAAAGATGTCAACTAAAGAGGTATACATATTTATTTCCTAAAAACAAAAGCATGATTAAAGAAGTGTAAAACTCATACTCCCTCCATTCCAAAATATTCACAACACAAATTACAGAGTAATAGAAAAATAAAAAGTAAAAATTACACATTTTAGAGGTAGGTCAAAAGTTTTACAAAACAAAGCGAGATAAAAATATTTTATTCTTTGAAATTGTATGGTTTACCTCTGAATATTAAAAAATGTACCAAATACCCTGAAATCTTCAAAAATTGCACGGTTTATCCCTGAACATTATAAGCTCCTGAACTTTTCCAAAATTGTCCAATTTACTGTTGAACATTGAAATAAAGACAATAATTTTGGAGGAGAGTACTTTGGAGAATTTACAAGGGCCAAATGAATCTTACTCGCAATTCTCGTGCGTGGGAGCAGCGCACTCCCTAACTAGCATTTTAGAACCAACGGTGCAATGTTTTAAATTGTTCAGGGGTAAGTCGTGCAATTTTGGAAAAATTTGAAGGTTTACAGTGCACTTTTTAATGTTCAGGGATAAACCATACAATTTCCAAAGAATTTAAGGTTAAACGGTGCATATTTCTCGATCCCACATATATGGAGGTGTTAATTATTGTCAATTAAGTAATTTTCCACTAATGCCCTAAAACAAATTTTAAGGAGCTGAGCTATTTATTACGAGTATGTTGAGTATGTTGCAAGTTCAAATACTTTCTCTGTCCGAAAATGTTCTTTTCATTTGACTTTTCACGGTCTCCAATATTGCACTTTGACCATTAATATCTATATTTGCACATAGATATATTTTATAAAAAATTGACATTTGAAAACTACGTTTCATTATGAATTTATTGATATTAAATTTATATAATAATACAATGTGTTTTTTCCACAAATCGTAGTCAAAGTTAATAAACTTTGACTAAGAAATGTCAAATGTGAAGAATATTTTCGGACGGAGGGAGTAATAAATACGGTAAAAATATGAGAGTAATTACCCTGGTAGACCTAATATGTTTCAGCGACGTATCCAGCTGATGCTCAAGGTGCTCAATCTCATCTATACTTAGGGGCCCCAAGTCCTCCCCAAGAAGATGTCTGTCATTCAATTCATTAATCATTATTATTACGGAGTATTAAATTAATTAGGGAGGAAATTATAGTCATAAATGATGAAAGAAATCAAGATAATTATAATTCAGCCCTCTTAAAATAGTAAGTTTTACAATTTTACTTTAATACTCCCTATTTATTTTTACATAGTACATATACGCCTTTATATAATATCCGCCTAGTTTGTCATTCTCAATCAAACTAGACAAACTTGTATGGATATTAGCACAACAATGCTTTCATTGGAGTTGTACTTGCGAGAAACTATCATAAATTTATTTCAGCATATTATGGTGGGATATAAGTTAATATTATACTCGGTATATTTTGCAAAAAAACAAAAAGAATCTAGTAATATAAAGTTAAAGTATAAATTCATATACGTGTACACACACACACACAATATTAACCATTATTAAAAAGCACATCAAAAAGCTAAGTCTATTAAATAAAAGATGATATGACTATATTATTTTATGAAATAAATAAAAGAAAAATAAAAAAATGAATAAAATTTGATTCTGAAAATAATCAACAATATCGACAACAAAAACGTTGTACTCTTAAAAATAAGAAACATTGAGGGGCTATTTGGGAATAGTATTAGCGATTAGCGTTAGCGTTTTGGATAAAATTTTAACGGTGCAGATTACTTTGAAAACGCTAACGCTAAACGCTGCCCGTAGATAGCCTTTTCAAAAGGCTAACGCTAATCGCTAACGTTGTTCCCAAACAGGCCCTGGGTATACCTTAGGAGAGAATGAGTAATAAAAAGTGAAGAGGGAAGTCTATTTTGAAATTGAAAAAGTAAATGATTATGTACTATATAATGCTCAACACGAACTAATGGTTACTAACATTACCAGACGGACGAAATAATGGTAATACCTTTGGTACCGTTGTAGTGACTCGTATTTGCCCTTCAGTTTTAAGTATTCCTTGTAGCTACTTTGCTGCATGCACGGAATGACAACATAATTGAACGCTGGAAATTAAATTATTATTTCATGTACTATATATGAGATGAAATATACTAATATCCATGAGATAGATGAAAATTTAAATATCTTCTTCTAACTTATGTCCGGTATTTAAATTACAAGACCTTCAAAATAAAAAAATTCATTTATTTATTACTCCCTCCCTTTGCAAAAAGACTTCTCATTTTGATTTGGGGCAAAAATAATGAAGTGTTAAATTATACTTCCTCCGTTTGCAAAAAGACTTTCCATTTTGATTTGGGACAAAAATAAGGAAGTGTTAAATTATACGGAGTAGTTGATTTCTAATTTTGCTCCTGATGTGATGAGTAAAAGTAAGATGTGATAGATAGATTATTAGAGAAAACAGTATGATGTGATAAGTAGGATATGAAAAAGTAAGGGTAAAAGTGGTTTTTTAATAGAAAAGGAAAGTGTTTTGTTGGAAGTGGAAAAAATGAAAGAGGAAGTGCTTTTGAAAACGGATGGAGTACTTGATAACATCGGATAGTAATATAATGTCACTTATTATTTTATACACTTTCAGTTTAATTTATTAGTATATAATTTTTTTTTTACTTTTATACAAAATTTTGAATAAATTTTGTAAAAAATATTTTCAAGGGATCATCGCAAACCAAATCAAATACCATTTTTCTAGCACGAATGAAGCTTTGCTTCATAATCCATGGCATATATCACAATTCTTAATTACTCCGTACATGATTTTACTTTTTCTCGAGTTTTGTAATTAAAAAAAAGTAAAATTTGCACTAAATAGGACTAAAACATAAGTCATTTCCCAATGTAGGACTTAAACTTTTTTATTCTTTAAATAGGACTAAATAATGACTAGTGAGAAGAATAATGTCCAAGTGATACTCGACATTTAGTTGAATAATGACTAATTTATAATGACCAAAGGTCCTACATTGGAAAATAAAAATATATGGTCCTATATTGGAAAAGTCATTATGTTTTATTCCTATTTAAGTAAATTTCTCGTACAATAATTAATTGCTCAGCTCGATCTCCCTGTACCAAAATGAAGGTGAATTTGAAAACTTGTGTCAAACGTTAACTCTGAATTGTTCTAAGAAATTACGAGTATTAATTATAATTTCTACGAAGTATGTTGTTACATATATAAATAAAAGTAATTCGGTGTATCTTAATCATGGGTGGCCTGGATGGTGTGCAAAATGGTCACCCGCACAGGGTGCCTAAAATTTTAGAGTCATATATTTTCACATTCATCATTAATTTTGAAGCATAAGTATGCTAAAACAATAAAATGAGACCCAAAATATAAATTTCGGACCAGACCAATTTCATTTTTTTCATTTTTCGAGGCCGACCCTGATCATAATTAATAAACTTCGTACTCCCTTCTCCCATATTTGCGATCGATATTGTTTGTGGAATTTACGTAAATAAGACTAAAACATAATGACTTTCTCAAGTAGTCATTATTCAAGTAAATGTCTATCATCGCATGATATTATTCCTCTCACTAAACAATATTAAGTACTATTCAGAGCAAATTTTTCATATTGTTAATTTACTAAGGGTATGTTTGGTTGGAAGAGAGGGGAGGGGAAGAATGGATGAGAGGGAATTGGAGGGAAAGGGAAGGATTCCCTTCACTTTGTTTGGTTTGGAGGGCAAGGAAATGTTTTATTTTTAATTTTTTATTTATAATTATCATTTTTAAAACTATTTTTTATCTATTTTTAAAAAAATTTATCAGTGTTTTTGATTTTATTCTTTCATTTTGTTTATAATTTTATTTTTTATCACTTTTTTTCTTATTTCTCCTACATTTAAATTTTTTTATTTTCTTATGTAATTTATTTTTTTTAAATTAAATTATGTATATATATGTATGTATATATGTATATTATTTTATTTATTATTTATCACTACGATTTTCCATTATGAATTGATTGATTGATTTTATTATTATAATTATTTATTACAGTATTATTTATAATTATTATTATCAATTTTTATGTTTTTAAATATAATTTTTTATATATGTTATTATTTTTATTATGGGTTTTTATTTAATGATATTAATATTTTTTAATTTTTTTATTCTTATTTTTTATATCTACTTATTTATTATTATTAATATTTTAATTATAATTTATTTATTTTATTTATTTTATTATCATACAGTTTTTGTTATTAATAATTTTTTGTTGTTTTAAAATGATTTTATTTATTTATTTATTTATTTTAATTTTATTTTATTACTCCCTCCGTCCCTTAAAAAAGTTCTCATTTTGATTTTTTGAAGATTTAAGAGGAGTGTATTTTGGTATTGACTTTCCAAAAATGTCCTTTGATGTGATGGATAAAGTAGGATGAGATGGATAGCTTATTAGAGAAAAAATGTGATGTGATAGGTAGGTTAAGAATTAGTAGGGGTAAAAGTGACTTTTTAAAAGGAAAAGCGAAGTGTTTTTTGGGACGGATGAAAAAAGAAAGGAGAACTTTTTTGTGGGATGGAGGGAGTATATATTGCTCCCTCTGTCCCATAAAGATAGGGACATTTGAACTAAAGTGGTAAAATAATGGAGGGATAATTTGTTATTGATTTTCCAAAAATACCCTTAGTGTGACAGGTAAAAGTAGAATGTAGGTTATTAGAAAAAATGTATGATGTGATAGATAGAGTATGAAAAAGTATGGGGTAAAAGTAATTTTTTATTAGAATTGAGAATGAGTTTTAGGGACACGGTTTTTTTGAAACGTGAAGGACTTTTTGGGGAGAGAAGGAGTAATTTTTATTGACAAGGCGGAAAAATTAACAAAAGAAGAAGAAAAAGACGAGGGAAGAAGATTTCGTCCAATTCAGAAGGATTGATTTGGAGGGGAGGGGAGGGGAGGGAATTGATCAATTGAAGCTAAAATATAATTTTGGGTGTCCTTCCCTCCACGTTTTTTAACCAAACAAGGGGAGGGATTCTGATTCCTTGCCTTTCCATCCCCTTCCCTCCAATCAAACAGACCCTAAAGCTAGTTTCAAGTCAATCACTTTAGTTGAAAGTAAGCATATCTATATCTATAATATAATTATGGGATCATTAAAATACCTCATTGTCTCTGTTTGGGCGATTAACTTCCAGTGTACCATAACTGCATTTTTGATACCTTTCCAGAGTTTTGAGCATGCTGCTAACCAAACGTTATCCGGGAGAAAATAAATTAAAGTGCATGGATGTTCAAATCTAAACAACTTCCTTACTAAATTAATATGCACAAGACCTTAAATTGCACGTGTTCCAAATGTATCAAGGTGTGACTCTCAAATGAAAGGCCAGATGTTAATTAAGTTTGAACTCCACTAAGAGCAATAACAATAAAAATATTTGCACTAAAGAGCACTAAAACTTAAATTATTTCTTTAAATAGCACTTAAATTGTTTTATTTCCTAAATAGCACTTAATAATGTCCATAATGTCCAGTGACGATGAATATTTACTTGAATAATGACTAATGCATAATGACTAAAAGTGCTACATTAGGAAGAAAAACACATGTGGTGCTATTTAGAAAAAGTCTTTATGTTTTAGTGCTATTTAAGTAAATTTCTCATAACAATATGTGATACTCTTTCCGTCCCATAAAGATAAGATCATATTTACTAAAGTGGTAAAATAAGGAAGAGATAATTTTGTGTTGATTTTCCAAAAATACCCTTAATATGATGAGTAAAAGTAGGATGTAAAATGTAGATCATTAGGAAAAATGTACGATGAAATAGGTAAGATATGAGAAAGACTTTTGTGAACACAATTTTTTTGAAACGTGAAGAACTTTTTGGGAAGGAGAGAGCATATAATACGCTGTCAATGTATGAACAAACACTATATTTTAGTGGAGTTATTATTGGTCGAGCTTAAGGAGTATGACGAATTATACTTGCTTTTTGTACATTGGATGTGCATTATTTAAATTGTAAATATGTATATTAGAATTTTATAATATATCAAAAAATATGCATTTTTTTAATTTCATTTTCAAAATATGATTTTATTCTTCCATCAATTATAAGTGTTATTAACTAAAAATGGAAAGTATTTTTTAAAAACTAAATTATCATTGTGTAACTATTAAATATTCATACATTCATTTTATAATGTGGAGGCCCTAAGTATATGCAGAAATTTAAAATAAATGTGAAAACTAAGTACTCCCCATTCTTTTTTAACTGTTCATTTTGTTTTCCTTTGCAATGTTTGACGAACAATATTTCTTAAAATATACTCCGTACGTTTTAAAAATTATATGTTATATATTACAAATTGTACCACAATGTAGCAACACCCCTGGGTATTTATGATTTTTTGCAGTCAATAATCTTCAACCTTTAATTAAGTAAAAATTATACTTATAAAATATTCTACAAAATAAATCTAATGAAATTACTTTTGAATCAAAACCTAATATCAATTTTATTTAACAAGGGGTCAATTTTGTCAATTTTAACTGAAAAAAGTTAAAACTAGATTGACACTAAGATACGGAGGTGGTATATTAAAATTATTTTTGAAGCCTTTGTTCAGTTGGATTATTAAAAAAAAATGGAGAGAATTAGTCCCGCCCAAATTAGACAAAAAAAAAGCTGATATCTTGGATATTTCAGATAGATCATGAAATGGGCGGAGAAATTGAAGATGGAGCTTGGAATTGAATAAATTAAATATAGAGAGGGTATATATTGTACGCACTTGGAAGTGCTGCAGAACTCGTAGAGTTTTCCCCTGTTGGAGAAGACGATGAGCGCGACCTCTGCATCGCAGAGCACGGAGAGCTCGTACGCCTTCTTCAGCAATCCGTTTCTCCTCTTCGCGAACGTCACCTGCCTGTTTATCTTGTTCTCGATCCTCTTCAGCTCCACTCTCCCCCGCCCCATTTTCCGGCCGCCGCCGCCGCCGCCGATCTCAGATCTAGCGAGCTACTTTCTCCGATCTCGATCTCGATCTGGTTTATAAATCTCGAACCTGGATATGGCTCTCGATCGTCATCGATTCGGCGGATTCAAAACCCTAGCTCGATCAGATCGGATGAGGAATCTATTGATTATCTGTATGAAGCGATTTCGAAATGGGTTTTGATCTTTGATTTATTGATAAAATTCTCCTTCCTTTGTTTTGGAGCTTAACCAAAGGATGGGTTATCTATGTTCCCATTTCCGGAAATTTTCTAGCTAGGGTTAGTCTCCCGGTTTCCACTTTCGCCCAGCTCCAATCCCACTTCCCTTTCCTACGCGCAACGTGGCGCGTATATATAAACGCCTGTCTCTCATCCCCTCCGTGATCGACACGCGAGTTGAGTCCCGCCACCGCCTCATTGGACCACCGCGGCGCTACAGTGACAGTGAAATTCGCCTAATTTCCACTTGGGGGAGAAAAATCACTGAAATGACCGGTGGATTCATTGGGGTTTCGTGCCACGTGTCGCATTTTAAGTGGGTTCTCTTCATGCAAATTACTTCCAGCGCGGTTAATCTAACTTTAAAAAAACCCTTCAGATAGGATTTTAAACTTAAACTCCTCTAAATAGGAATAATTAATTAAATTTTGTTTTGGTTTACTCTTCCGCACAAACCACACCACATCCCATTCTTATGCGGTGGAAAAAGTCACTCGGCCCCTTTCCAATCTCATCCTTCTACGATCTCCTTCTTTGTTCCAATCTCAGTTGTTGACGCTGTCAACTTAATCTCAATCCCTTCTCTGCCGCTACCATCTCCTCTATGCGACAATGATTCCACCACACTCTACATCATCTCCCTTTCTCTCATACACACAATTTCCTTCCACCATTCTCCACCATTTCTATTTTTCATCGCTCTGATGCCTCAATTCCCTCGGGTAAGTTTGAATTCAATTTAATACTCTTTCGAGAATTGTTTTGTAAAATTGGTACCAATTCTTTTAGCATTGCGTGAGTTTGAAACTTTAGATCAATTTTATATTCAATTTCACATTTGATTTTAAATCTGAATTTACTTCTTAGAATTTTTTTTTGTAAAACATATATTGAAACTAAATTATTATTGTGTTGGCAAATAGTGTTTCTTGATGTTTGACTTTTTTTGAGATTATGCATTAACATATGTGTTATATGTAAAATTATACATTGGCATATCTATCATTATACATTGCCAAGTATGACACTATATATTGTACTACCTCCGTCCCACAAAAAAGTTCTCATTTTGACCATAAATTGGTCAAACTGTTACACATTTTGACCCTAAATTAAATATAATCTAAATAAAGAAATGCTAAAAACATTTGAGATATCAAAACTAGATCCTAAGATGAATCCAATTATATAAAATTTATTCCATAATTCAATATACCTTTCTCACAATTTATAGTCAAAGCGTGTAAATATTTGACTAAATACTATTCAAAATGGGAACTTTTTTGTGGGACGGAGGGAGTATATTTTTTGACATTATCTCTTGGTTTAGCACTATGCATTTGTATGTATGACTTTATACAATGACATGATTGTCATTATGCGGTTACGTGTGGCGTTAAATGTGGTCTTGTTTGGCATTGTATAGAAATTTTACGGTAGCAATTTACTGAGTTTTTATTTATTGCTTAAAAATTTTGACATATAACTACAAAGTATTAATCAAGTCTCATAGATTTATAAATTAAGAATTTTGGCAGTAAGTGTGGTCTTGTTTGACTCTTTATGGGCGAGAGGCAACACTTAAAGGTGATGTTTATCAAGTTTTTTTCTCTTTCTAAGAATATCAAATCAGAATATTTGAGTTGTGAATTAGGATACACATACAAATATTCAGGACCAAGGTAGAAATAGCCGTATTTGTCTGTGGTACTGAGCTTGGGTGTGATTTTGTTGTCGTCCCTTGACAATATAGTTGAAAGAATCGTTTATTGACAATATTTTAACATTGGGTAAAAAAATTAGCCGACTTAGTATTAAGCCGTTATTTTGATAAAGAAATAAATATAATGTCCTATTTTATTTTCTTATTTGAAAATATAAATTATTTGTAAAGTCAACCCTTTAATTTAAAAACTAGGTAATTAGGTTGATCTCGTAAAAAGGTGACTAACAACATATAGTTTGTTAAGTTTAGACTTTGATGTAAAAAGTTATGAGCAAAAAAATGTTAAAGTTCAATAAATAAATATAAAGATTTTATAATATAATAATAATAAATAATTAATTTCCTAATCTATTTTAATTATTACCCATAACTCAATGCCAAAGCCCATCCCCTTAAGTGTATAAATCCACACGCATGCAAGAAAAGGAAAAAAACAAAAGAAGGGAGAAGAGAGTGTGACAAGAGAGATACTGCTAATTCAAGATAAAAATTAATTAATTACTCCTATTTATAAGAATTTAAGTTTAAGCTCCTATTTTGAGAATATGAAATAACTTTTACTCCTTTGCTCCTTTTCCCTTTCACTTTATCGCCATATTTAGATGGACACTGAAAAGGTCCGTCCCACTTGTTTGGTGTTTTTATGCTTTTAAAAATTTAAATTCTCGGAGTTGGCACCACATTAAAATTTAAAAAAATTAAAAAGTCCAAAAAAATACTCCTTCCATCCCGGTAAATTATACTCCCTCAGTCTTTGAAAACATTTCTCCTTTCTTTTTTTATCCGTCCCAAAAAACACTTCTCATTTATATTAAAAAGTCACTTTTACCCATTACTTTTTTCATACTCTACCTATCACATCATACCTTTTTACTAATAATCTATCCATCAAATCATACTTTTACCAATCACATCAAAGGACATTTTTGGAAATTCAATACCAAAATACACTCCCCTTAAATTCTTCTTCAAAATCAAAACTCCCATGTTTTCCAGGACGGATGGAGTATTATACATCCAATTTCGGGTACAACCAAGAAATTATTTATGATATGAATTTTATTTTATATGAGAATGAACACTAAGTTATTTGAGAATAAGTATTGTTTTGTTTCAGTATAAACACTACATTATTTGTAGATGAATATTTTAATTATATTGAACCAATGTGTGAAGATGAGTACTGGATTATTTTAAAATGAATACCACGCTAATTATATTTGTGCGAGAATGGAGTATTACCTGGATGTACCGTACATCAGGTTAATTATACCATATACCTTCTCCTGCATCCCACAAAACCCTTCTCCTTTAATTTTTCATCCGTTCCAAAAAACCTTTCTTTTTACAATTAAAAAGTCACTTTTACCCATATCAATTATTAATCTATCTATTACATCACACTTTTTCTCTATTAATCTAACCATCACATTCTACTTTATTCATCACATCAAAAGGCATTTTTGGAACGTCAACACCAAAATACAGCCCCTTACATTCTTTCAAAATCAAAATGGAAAGTTTTTTTGGGTTACGGATGGAGTACTAAATTAATTAAACTCGAGCCCATTCATCCGTCCTGTCAATTACATGCGCCGAGCTGGCTTGCAAAATAACATGGACGGACTTAATATTTACATTTGGCCCGATGTGTCAGCAGATGCCCCATATCCTATGAATGTAAATATATAAGTACACACAATATAGGAGTATTATATTCTCATCGTTTCTAAATATATGTCACATTTTTATTTTCGAAGTTAAATATTAACTTTTTCAATTTATTTATTTACATATTGGTATAGAAATAAAAAAAATAAAATTTACATATCAAAAAACTACATGAAAAATTCTTCGAAGTAAGAAGTGTCAAGAATATTTTATTTTATCAAATAACCAATGAAAACAAAGAAATACACAAAAGTTTCCGCGACTTCTGAAAAAACAAGTGTGGCAAATATTTTAGGGCAGATGGAGTACTCATTTGGAGTACATATATAAGTCTTTTTGATAAATATTCATGATTTAAATCAGTATAATTCTATAATGATATATGGTGTAACAATCACATACTCCGTATATCATATTTATTTAATTTTACTATGTAAATATATTAAATACAAGTATTTAATTTTGTACACTCCATATATTTTAATAAATACTCCGTAATATTTTTATGGAATGTATAAAAATTAAACTATGTTCACCCCCTTCTTAAGGATTTTTCAAAAAGGATTAAAACATAGGTATAGTTCCCTCGGAGTTGGTAAATAAAATTACGATCTCAACAGACCAATAAAGAGTACAATAATTAATCTGTCTTTTTTATGTAAACTAAACCATAAAACATCTCACATTGCATTTCATTAACACTCTTTTGCACGTTTTACTAACCACTTGAACAACGACCCCTAAGGATTGACCTAAATAGGACTAAAACATAATTACTTTCTCAAAATAGGATCATATGTTTTTATTTCTCAATGTAGGACCTTTGGTCATTATTAATTAGTCATTATTCAAGTAAATGTCCATCATTGCTGGGCATTATTCCTTCCACGAAGACATTATTAAGTCCTATTTAGAAAATAAAAAAGTTTAAGTCCTGAATTAAGAAAATCATTATGTTTTAGTCCTATTTAGTGCAAATTTCACTTGAAATAAACACATACTTGATACTTCATCCGTTTTCAAAAACACTTCCTCTTTTATTTTTTCCATTTCCAACAAAACATTTCCACTTTTTATTAAAAAATGACTTTTACCCTTACTTTTTTATACCCTACCTATCACCTCATACTTTTTCTCTAATAATTTTTCCATCACATCTTACATTTTACCCATCACATCAAAAGCAAAATTGGAAGACAACTATAATTTAATACTCCCTCCGTCCCCCTAAGATGTTCTCATTTTGACTTTTGGTGGTTTTTAAGGAGAGTTGAAAAAAGGTGAAAGTTTACCATAATACCCTTAATGAAAAATGGGTGGAGTGTATTAAATGAGGTGAGTGAGGTGTAATAAATAAAGTAAGTGGGGGTAGTTGTGGTATTTTAATTGTTAAAAAATGAAATGAGAAGATCTATTGTGGACAAAGAAAAAGGGATATTGGGAAGATCTATTGGGGACGGAGGGAGTACTTCCTTATTTTTACAAATGAAATGAAAGATGAACACAAA